ATTATTGTTATCTTTAAATGTAATGTGATAGGATCTATTTTTCCTTTTTTTAAAACTGCAAAATATCCCTCATTTGTTTTTTTGGGGGGGGGGATGTTCCCAACCTGTTTATTAGTGGAATTGTGAATCAGGCCATTACTCCTCAATTGTATTGATGCATACTTTTCATGTCGGCACAGTTTTCCTCATTTTTGAAGGCTGTATGCATGGTTGCCTATAATTGCTATGTCATTTGAACCTCTGTGGATCATAAGTTGTCTCATCATGCTCTGACATTGGCAATCATATATACTACATACATGTATTGTAATTTATATATGTATCCATCCTTTAGAAAAGTTGTTTCGAATGTCATGAATCCCCTCTAGATCCCGCTTTATAAGTTGAAAAGTCTACATCTTCTTTAGAACTTTTTTTGGGGGGGGGTCCCAACCTGTTTATAAGTTGTAAATCAGGCCATTACTTTTCTCAATTTAATTGTTGCATATTAAACATGTCTGGACTGTTTTTTCTTTAATTTTTGAAGGCTGTATGGTTGCCTATAACTACTTTGTTATTTGAATCTCTGTGGATAGTTAGTCTCATTGGCATGAGGGTCGTAATGGGGCTACCGTCATGACAAATAACGGTAAAAATTCTTGCCAAATGACGTTAACGGTAAATTTTGGTGCATGACGATAAGATGTACACTTTCTTTTAGACATTAAAAAAATCGAATGGTTTTGACGAATCACGTTAATTTTTTTCCAAAAATAACGGTAACAACAATTATTTGAGACCTCTGACGAATAATGATAAAGATATTTTGACGAATCACTGTAAAATTTTAACCAATTTGACGCTAACGGTAGCTAAAAATGAACGTTTGACGCCTGACGGTAAAGGGCATTACTACCCTCTGGCATATGACATGTACTGATTTTATATGGATTGCAGACCTGAAAAAGATGTTCAAAGTTGAATATGCTGCAAAATTCAAGCAACCTACTACAACTGATTTACCATGAAACTGTTGATCAGAACTATATATAATTGATTTCATCCGTCCTCATACATGTACCACTATCAATCAACAGAACAAATGTAAATAATTATGATGTCATGAAAGGTTTTTATGCCCCCGCCGTCGCGGTGGGGGCATTAAGTTTTACCCTTGTCCGTCTGTACGTATCCATCCTATAAATTACAAAATTGGTTTCCGTTCCCTAACTTAAGTTTGCCTCAACCAAATGTTATGAAACTTATACACAATACTTATTACCACAAAATACAGATCAAGTTTGAATTTGGTGGCGTTTCTTTAACCGTTCTAGAGTTATGCCCCTTTATAAATGGAAAAATTGCAAAATTATAGTTTCCGTTCTCTAACTTAAGTTTGCCTCAACCAAATGTTATGAAACTTATACAAAATACTTATTACCACAAAATACAGATCAAGTTCGAATTTTGGTGGCATCACTTAAACCGTTCTAGAGTTATGCCCCTTTATAAATGGAAAAATTGCAAAATTTTTATTTTCTTCTAAATATCAAGTAATTTTTAAAATTGGAGTTATCTTCCTTTGTCCATGATTATAGGTGAATCAACTACAATCAATGCTTTATACAATGCAATGTTTAATTTTGACTTCCACTGATAAAACACAGATCAAGTTGAATTTGGCTAGTGTCACTTTAACCATTATTGAGTTATGCCCCTTTATAATTGAAAGATTGCAAAATTTTTAGTTTCCATTCTGTAACTTAAGTTTGCCCAAACCAAGCATTATGAAACCTATTCACAATATTCATTACCACAAAACTAAGATCAAGTACAAATTTTTTGTTTGCGTTTTCTAACTTTAGTTTGCCTCAACCAAATGTTATGAAACTTATACACAATGCTTATTACTACATAATACAGATTAAGTACGAAATTTGGTGGCGACACATTTACTATTCTTGAGTTATGTCCCTTTATAAACATAAAAATTGCTGAATTTTTCGTTTCCGTTCTCTAACTTTAGTTTGTCTCAACCAAATGTTTAAAACTTATACACAACCGTTCTAGAGTTATGCATGTTTACAAATAGAATAAAATGCTCCGCTGGACACAACATTCAAGCTTGATACAGCACTGAATTTTGGATTGTAATTAAATATTTGACACAGCATAGGTTTCTGAAACAGAATGAAAGTGGTCTAAGAACTTAAAATTTTTTAATTTACCTATTCAAACCATATCATTATTATTTGCTTTTATATATAAATCCGAAATAACCAATTTAAAATAGAAAAAAAAGGAAAAAAAAATCTCCCCCCCCCCCCCCCAATTTTTTGAACCCCCTTATGATTCATCACCCCCAAACTCAATCCCAGCCTTCTCTTTGTGGTATGGTACCTTGCAGTACAATTTCAGAGAGATCCATACACTTGAACACAAGTAATTGTGTGGAAACTAGAAAAATGCCCCTTTTTGGCCACAATTTCCTAAACGTTTAGGGCAATTACCCCCAAACTCAAACCCAGCTTTCCCTTTGTGATATGGAACCTTGCAGTACAATTTCATAAAGATCCATACACTTGCACACAAGTTAATGTCCTGAAACTAGAAAAATGCTTGTTTGTTTGCCCTTTATGGCCCCTAATTACTAAAATTTGGAGGGAATTACCCCCAAAATCAATCTCAGCCTTCCCTTTGTGGTATGGTACTTTGCAGTACAATTTCAGAGAGATCCATACACTTGAACACAAGTTATTGTCTGGAAACTAGAAAAATGCTTATTTTTGGCCCCTTTTTGGCCCCTTATTCCTAAACTTTTTGGGCAATTACCCCGAAACTAAATTCCAGCTTTCCCTTTGTGATATGGAACCTTGTAGTACAATTTCATAAAGATCCATACACTTACACACAAGTTATTGTCATGAAACTAGAAAAATGCTTGTTTTTGCCCCTTTTTTGCCCCTAATTCCTAACATTTGGAGGCATTTACCCCGAAAATCAATCAGAACATTCCCTTTGTGATATGGAACCTTGTGATACAATTTCAGAGAGATCCATAGATTTACACACAAGTTATTGTCATGAAATTAGAAAAATGCTTGTTTTTTGCCCCTTTTTGGCCCCTTATTCCTAAAATTTGGAGGCAATTACCCCTGAAATCAATCCCAGCACTCCCTTTGTGATATGGAACCTTGTGGTACAATATCAGAGAGATCCATACACTTACACACAAGTTATGTCTGGAAGTTACACAAATGCTTATTTTTGGCCCCTAATTCCTTAACTGTTGGTACCATAACCCCCAAAATCAATTCCTTTTGTGGTATTGAACCTTATGGTAAAATTTCATTGAGATCCATTCACTTAAACTAAAGTTAGAGTGCGAAGACTAATGCGTCTTCGGACGACGACAACGACGCCAACGTCATACCAATATACGACCACAAAAATTTTTTTGTGGTCGTATAAAAATTGCTGAATTTTTAGTTTCTGTTCTCTACTTAAGTTAGCCTCGACCAAATGTTATGAGACTTACACACAATGCTTATTACCACTAAACTCAGATCAAGTTCAAATTTGGGTAGCGTCACATTTACCGTTCTTCAGTTTTGTCCCTTTATAACTATATGATATGCAAGCGGGGGCATCATCTGTGTCCACATGTGGACACTATCCCCATTTATTTTAATAAATTTTGAATCTTTATATCAATATAAACATGTTGGGCTCTTTTACAGCAGAATATACAGTATGGGGTTTTCTCATTTTTATACGCCTTTTTACGGGACGTATAATGGTATACCGTTGTCCGCCTGTCTGTCCGTCCTTTGTCAACATGTCAGACATTAACTTAAAAATGCTTTAATAAAATTGCATAAAACTTTGGTGAATTGTTTATATCTATTGACGTAAGCTCCCTTTCTTTTTTTATAAATTTTAGATTTTACGTTTTGGAGTTTATACTTAAAAAATTTGTAAGGGTTCCGCGGAACCCAGTGTCTCGCCTACTTTTGCTGTTAATCGCAGGCTCAACAAAAATGAGGAAAAAATTAATAAAAATATTCCTCTCTATACTATCTTTTGATTGTAAGTAGCTTCTATCCAAGTTTGGTAAAAATCCAGGATAGTTTATGAATCTAATAAATGTTTTAAAAACTTAAACTGCAGCCTGTATGTAATGTTAACTGGAAGAAAACTATTATTGGATCCAGCTTTTTCTATGTACAATGGCGTGTTTATTACCACATATTACAGGAAAAATGTAAAAGAGACTCTTGCTCATGTTCATTTTACTTTACTTTGAATAATTTATAAGGATCTCAATATGTTCCTTCCATTCTCTTTAAGCCAAAAAGATGTATAATGGACTCAGCCTTATTGATGAGCGTTCTTAAATTTGAACAGACTAGTCCTCTGAAAAAAATATTTAATTACTTTAAATTTGATGGAAGGTGGTTTAATATGATAATTACAATTTCTTAAGGGTAAGGAATCTTAAATTGTAATTATTGACTACTCTTAAAATCTTTTTTTTTGTAGAATTACTGAAGTACAAACAATGCAATAATTATCAATAAGATGTTATATGATTGCAGATTAGACAAATTTCCACCAGAGTGCAAGTGAAGTAGAAGTTAGCAACTATATGTCCCAACACATCCTTCAATAATGAGCAAAACAAGACCCATTCCGAATAGCAAGCTATAAAAGTCTATAAAAGGCAAAACAATTCAAATGAGAAAACTAACAGTCTGATTTAAGAACAAAACAATTAATGATTTCTTTTATATAAAGCAACAAACGACAGCTACTAAATTGCAGGCTCCTGACTTAGGACAGGCACACACAGAATGTTGAGGTGTGAAACATGGCTTTAGGTGCCTAAAGAAAGAGTAATGTTTAAATAGTTTTTAATCTAGTAAAGTTCTCATTGGCTGAAATACAATCACTAACCTGCACACTATTATTTGCAATGATCTTTAATATCTGTGATGATTGCTGTTCTTAATTATACATACCTCTAGTTTAGCCATTATTTCAGCCTTTAACCCAGCATTGTTGATGTTCATTGTACTCAGTATTTCTGTTGAAGTTGAATGAATGTCTGCAGTAGTTGCCCCTATGTTTTGTATTCTGGTGTCAATCTGAAAAAAAAAATCAAGAAGTGGGAGACCCATAGTTTTTACTATTTCTGTCTATCTGGTTGGGAACAACTTTTATAAACACCAAAACTCCATATATAAGGGTTACTTAGAAGGCCGATGAAATTTGGCACAGTTGTTGTGCATAACATACAGATGTGCATATTACATGTATTATTAGTGAAAAGGAATGGCTAGGATGCCAATAAAATTTATTTGTCACAGTCATTGTGCATAGTATTTAGTTGTACATTTGTTTGTTAATATTTGCAAATCAACTTTTGGATTTATTAAGTTTCTGTTTAAAAATCACAAATTTTGAGAAAACATCTGTTTGTGCTAGGATTTCAATGAAAACTGATCCATTGGTATTATATGCAACTCCAAATTGATTCTTGGCGTAAAAAAATAATTTCCATGCAAATTTGGGGTTTAAGTTGTCATAAAAACCCACCAGATGTGATAAAAGCCACTATTTGGCTCCTAAAATTTCAAAAATAGTTAATTTTCAAGGCTTTCAAAATAATGGAAAATTTTGTCTTCCCTCAACAAAGTTGCAGAGACGAGACCAAGACCTGCTGTTTTTGGTGGCAGTGTCTTTGTCTATCACATATAAGTTTGTGATGAGCCAGTTTAAAGGGAATGAATAGTGGTAGCTGGTCAATGATATATAGTATGCAGTTCTGGCAGTATTGGCACATCTCATTTCAATGGAGATTATTTGGGCCCGCTCCTTCTTCATGGTACATGTGTATTGACTTTGAAATTTTTGCATGTTTACATGTTAAAGTTTGTGATTAGGTCAGTTTCAGATGAACCACTAATGGTGAGTTAATGATATTTGGGATGCAGTTTTATAAACATTTGTACGTCTCAATTCCATGGAGATTATATCTATTTTGGTAACGCCAATCATGTCTAGATATTGAAGAGAAAATTTTTAAAACGAGGAGGCTATTAGGGTAGTTTTGCAGTTTTGCACTAAAAAGTAAAATAAAAAAAATACTGAACTCCGAGGAAAATTCAAAACAGAAAGTCCCTAATCAAATGGAAAAATCAAATGATAAAACACATCAAACGAATGGACAACAACTGTCATATTCCTGACTTGGTACAGGCATTTTCAAATGTAGAAAATGGTGGATTGAACCTGGTTTTATAGCGCTAAACCTCTCCCTTGTACGACAGTCGCATCAATTTCCAAATGCAAGAAGTTTACAGCCCTTATGCAACTATGTAAGACACAATTAAAAAATATAAATACTGATGTCTAACAGACTACTATGAACATTTGAAGGTTGTTATTTAGTAAATTTATAGATCATTTTGATTTTTGAATTCAAGGGGCCAAAGAGGTGGCCTTATCATACCTTCTTATGATTTTTTTTTCTTTAGGATTTCATTAAGAAATTAAAATACAGGTAGACTTAACCTATTTCAAATTAATTCACAGTGGCAATATTTGATATTTGTCAAATTGGAAACAAAATTAATGCCGAATGTGCTAGGATTGATTCCAGGTGTCATTGCATTCCATACTTTGTTTTTGTAAGAAAATTTTGAGAAACATCGTTTTGTGCTAGGATTAAAGCAAAAATTGAAATAAATGTATTTTCCCTATTCCAAATATATTCCATTAATGATCAATATTTATTTTGTGAAATTTAAAAAAAAAACAATTGTCAGTTTTTTTTCAAGAGTCTCAAATTTAGAAACATCTTTTACCTAGGATTGCAACATTTATATCTAGGTACAATATTTATATGCTATTCCAAAGTGATTCCCACTTAGTGTTTGAAAAAAAACCCCACAAATTTGAAGAAGCGTCTTTATTTTTGCTACAAGAATTTCAATGGAAATGGATAATTACATGTAGGTATAATATGCTAGTCAAAATTGATTTCCTAAGTCACATTTAACTATCCCTCCACTACAATTTTTAAAATGGCTGCCATTCTTCAGTAAAAAAATCAGTCAGTTTTGATTTGATATTTGCTATTAGCACATGTTCAGAATTCTTACCCGGTATCAAAATTATGAACATTGAATTCCTATTAAATGTATTGCTTTGTTTATATCAAAAACAATCACTCAAACAAACATGAGCAAGCATGGCCTTTCTTGATATTGTCAGTTTTCTTGTTACTATATATATAGTATTCTTACACTTCCACATATTAGAAATCAAGTTCATGTGAATTGGAGTGATAGTGATTGATGTTTGATTCTGGATATACAGTGGGTCCATTGGTTGTAGTTGAGAGGAAATGGATCATGATTTTCACAGTTGTCATTGTCCACACAACACTGCATATCATTATGGCAGAGATAAACATAAAATTATTCTTGTAAAAGAAAATATTTTAATATATTTAGTAATAAAATGCTCCGCAGGGCGCAGCTTGATACGACCGCAGAGGTCGAACCCTGAACAGTTGGGGGAAGTATGGACACAACATTCAAGCTTGATACAGCTTTGGATTTGGATTGTGATTAAATATTTGACACAGCATAGGTTTCTAACACAGATTGAATGTGGTCTAAGAACTTAAAAATTTTAAATTGGACATTCACCTATTATGGTCCAATATCCAAAATCTAAATACATGGTTAGATTCAGCATATCAAAGAACCCCAAGAATTCAATTTTTGATGAAATCAAACAAAGTTTAATTTTGGACCCTTTTGACCTCAATGTGGACAAAGTTGATAACTGGGCCCAAAAATCAAAAATCTAAATACATGGTTAGATTCAGCATATCAAAGAACCCCATATATTCAATTTTTGTTGAAATCAAACAAAGTTTAATTTTGGACCCCGATTTGGACCAACTTGAAAACTGGGCCCATAATCAAAAATCTAAATACATGTTTAGATTCAGCATATCAAAGAACCCTAAGAATTCAATTTTTGTTAAAATCAAACTAAGTTTAATTTTAGACCCTTTGGACCTTAATGTAGACCAATTTGAAAACGGAACCAAAAATTAAGAATCTAAATACACGGTTAGATTCGGCATATCAAAGAACCCCAATAATTCAATTTTTGATGAAATCAAACAAAGTTTAATTTTGGACCCTTTTGACCTCAATGTGGACAAAGTTGATAACGGGGCCCAAAAATCAAAAATCTAAATACATGGTTAGATTCAGCATATCAAAGAACCCCATATATTCAATTTTTGTTGAAATCAAACAAAGTTTAATTTTGGACCCCGATTTGGACCAACTTGAAAACTGGGCCCATAATCAAAAATCTAAATACATGTTTAGATTCAGCATATCAAAGAACCCTAAGAATTCAATTTTTGTTAAAATCAAACTAAGTTTAATTTTGGACCCTTTGGACCTTAATGTAGACCAATTTGAAAACGGAACCAAAATTTAAGAATCTAAATACACAGTTAGATTCGGCATATCAAAGAACCCCAATAATTCAATTTTTGATGAAATCAAACAAAGTTTAATTTTGGACCCTTTGGACCTCAATGTGGACCAATTTAAAAACGGGGCCCAAAATCCAAAAACTAAATAAACGGTTAGATTCAGCATATCAAAGAACCCCATGAAATCAAGAATAAAACCCCATTGAAATTGGTCAAGAAATAAGCAATTTATAGGAAGTATCTTCTTTTGCACAATCCTGTGCTATTAAATATTTCTTGCTATTGCGCAATACTGTACAATTGACAATTTCTTGCTATTGCGCAATATTGTGCTATTGGATATTTCTTGCTATTGCTCAATACTGTGCAATTGAAGATTTCTTGCTATTGCGCAATACTGTGCAATTGAAGATTTCTTGCTATTGTGCAATACTGTGCAATTGAAAATTTCTTGCTATTGCACAATACTTATTATATAATAATTTACACATCCTGTTTGGTGTGTATCTCCTACCATATCATTATTATTTGATTTTAAATATAAATCAGAAATAACCAACTTAAAATGGAAAATTTTAAAAGAAACAAAAAAGGAAAAAAAGAAAAAAAAGGAAAAAAAAATAAATCCCCCCCCAAAATTTTTTGAACCCCCATTATGATTCATCACCCCCAAACTCAATCCCAGCCTTCCCTTTGTGGTATGGTACCTTGCAGTACAATTTCAGAGAGATCCATACACTTGAACACAAGTTATTGTATGGAAACTAGAAAAAAATGTGTTTTTTGGCCCCTTTTTGGCCCCAAATTCCTAAACGTTAAGGGCAATTACCCCCAAACTCAAACCCAGCTTTCCCTTTGTGATATGGAACCTTGTAGTACAATTTCAGAAAGATCCATACACTTACACACAAGTTATTGTCATGAAACTAGAAAAATGCTTGTTTTTTGCCCCTTTTTTGGCCCCTAATTCCTAAAATTTGGAGGCAATTACCCCCAAAATCAATCCCAGCATTCCTTTAGTGATATGGAACCTTGTGGTACAATGTCAGAGAGATCCATACACTAACACACAATGTCTGGAAGTTACAAAAATGCTTATTTTTGGCCCCTTTTTGGCCCCTAATTCCTTTACTGTTATTACCATAACCCCCAAAATCAATCCCAACCTTCCTTTTGTGGTATTGAACCTTGTGGTAAAATTTCATAAAGATCCATTCACTTAAACTAAAGTTAGAGTGCGAAAACCAATGTGTCTTCGGACGACGCCGGACGACGACGCCGGACGACGACGACGCCAACGTCATACCAATATACGACCACAAAAATTTTTTTGCGGTCGTATAAAAATTAGAAATAGGAACTTGGATATAAAAATGTGGTATGATTGCCAATAAGACAACTCTCCAGAAGAGACCAAATGACATAGAAATTAACAACTATAGAAGAGGGACGAAAGATACCAGAGGGACAGTCAAACTCATAGATCGAAAACAGACTGACAACGCCATGGCCAAAAATAAAATGACAAACAGACAAATAATAGTACAGATGACACAACATAGAAAACTAAAGACTAAGCAACACGAACCCCACCAAATACTGGTGGTGTTCTCAGGTGCTCCGGAAGGGTAAGCAGATCCTGCTCCACATGTGGCACCCGTCGTGTTGCTAATGTTATTACAAATCCGGTAAATAGTCTAATTTGGTAGGTCACATTCGTGAAAAGGGAAGGGTATTATAGTTACGACATAAGGAACATATCAGATATCATCTGTGAAACGGTTATTCCATAACAGTCAACCAACTCGTGATGGCGTCCGTAAAATTTACGAAGGGATGATTTTAACTTCACCATTTGGAACTAACAATATAGGTCACTGTATGGCCTTCAACAATGAGCAAAACCCATACTACATAGAAATCTACAAAAGGCACCAAAATGACAAATGTAAAACATTTAAAATGAGAAAACTATTGGCCAGATTCATGTACAAAATAAAGAACGAAAAACAAATTTGATATTCAGCAACAAACGACAACCACTGAATTACAGGCTCCTGACTTGGGACAGGCACATGCAGAATGTTGAGGGGTTACACTAGTTTGAAGGTGCCAAAACCTTTCCCTAACCTGGGACAGTGATGCAACAGCAGCACAAAACAATAAATGAAAACAATATTAGAGTCTGATTCTGAGTTTGAATATGCTGTTTGAGTTTAAATATGCTTTGTTTTCATACATGTGGTAAGATTTGGTCAGGAATGTTGATTTGATAGTAAAGAAAATAAGTTGCTTACCTCTTCAAGCTTTTTGTGAATGTCTAGGAGACAAACAAAGTACTTGTTGCACAATAAGTCGTCCAATGGTCTGTTCTGTATCCGTATGATGTCATCTTGTTTACTGGGGTCAAGTTGTAGGACACATGTTGTTAAGTCTTTCCACAGTGTTCTGAACTCTTTTTCAGTTATGGCACCTTTGGTGTTGTGGCTTAGGTAGTTGTTCTTAAACTTCCTTAGTTCTTTTATCAATGTCTCTTCATTTGGTGTCAGATTGCAGCAATTCAGTAAAATCAAACTAGCTAAGGTAATATCAAGATCATCTAACTTTACATTATTGGTTGTATACAAGCAGTGACAGTGATGCTTAGGTGGTCCTGGATTCTCTGTGTACAGTAAATCCCATTGGCTGTAGTTTAATGGTAGGGTCCCTCGGTTCCTACAGTTGGTACTGTCCACACAACATTTTATATTCCTATGGCGAAGATGAAACAGGATGTGTATGACAGGTTTACTGTTGATGAAATCCTGTAGACATTCAAACCTTTTACTTTTGTAGTCTTTCTCTAACCTCTGTCTGAAGACTGGTGTTACAATCTCCATTATAACAGAACCAACTATGAAGTAACGTCTATGATCATCTCTGTCCATCCTACAATAAAAAAAGCAAGAATAAAACAGGATGTGTATGACAGTTTTACTGTTGATGAAATCATGTACTCAGACATCCTATATAAGAAAATACTATCATTTGGAGGCCTCTCTCTCTGAAAACTGGTGTAACAATCTCCAAAAATAAAAGAACAAACAATGATGTAGGGTCTACGGTCGTTTCATACCTGCCAACCTCTGAAACTGAAAATGCAGGTCATGACCTGCATTGAAGAAGGAAATGTCTGGTCATAAAGCGACAAACTTTTTCGGTCCAATTTTAGTATTGAGAGTTTTTTTTTATATATACTATAACATATACATGTAACACTGAGATTCCTAAAAATAATCACTTTTGTATTTGTTAAGTATATAAATATTTATCATTAATTAAATATCTTTCTAAAGCAATGCCTTTTTATTGTTTTATTCACACTAGTTTACTTCTTTTTATTAATGAATGTCATAAACCCCAGCTATACATGTAATTAGAAATCAATTATAGCTAATGTGCTCCTATACACAGGAGGAAGATAAATAGAAAGAAGTTAGTGTGTTTTCTTTCAGTGTAATATCTAGAGCATATGGATTTGATTTAAGGCTTTTACATTTAAGTGATAACAAAATTATTCTCTCGAACAGAAATGTATTAAAAGGTTCAAATTGTTTTCAAACCATTTTTACAGGATATTTGATATTTGCAAACGGCGAATCTTTAAATCAGGAGATTTATTTTTGTTATATTGGAGACTAATTGCCGGAATAGGGTTGGGTAAGGAACCGATTAATTATGAATGTAACAATAATATTTGTGTCTACGGTTACATTGCACAATTGTTTCACTAATGCACTGCAATGTACGATGGGACTATAGTAATATGTATGAAAACAAAACTTGAAAAATTTTATTTGATATTTACAATATTGCATACAATATTTTTTTTTTTATTTACAATGACAGTTTCCACAAATCATGCCAGTATGTTGTTTTTTTGGATCATGTTTAAGTCCGACGCATTTTTGTGAAATCACTCCAAGCAGCCATCACAAACCAGTAAATACATTTTCTCAGCCCAAGTTCTTAACAGTGAACCATTGAACTATATTTTTCGCCTTTGGCACTACTAAACTGCTCTTTGGTCGGATTGTTCTCTCTCTTTGACACACTCCCATTTCCATACTCAATTTTAATATCTCTAAGAACATCAAAACAATTAAATCAATGCTTAATTCTATTCAAACACTATTTGTGGAATAATATTATTATTATTATTATTATTATTATTTATCACTAATATTATCTAGTACATATCGAAAAATTAAGCAACAAAACTATAGAAGGTTTAAGTTTAATATATCTTGCGTACATTGCAGTCTTTAATGTAACAATAACGCCATGTAACCGTAGACACTAATATTATTGTTATATTCGTAATTAATCGGTTCCTTAGCCAACCATGTATTCCGGCAATTAGTCTCCAATGTAACAATAACTTTTTTATTATTGTTTCATTTCCATGTAACCGTAGCCAGTGCCTATTTGAATACCCAGCGGGTATTTAAAAAATCCCTTGTGAAGAGGGAAATTCTCGGGTGTGACCCGCAGAATACGGGTCAGTTTACAGCTATGTCGTTTCGGTCCATCATGAACTTAAAAAAAAAAAGAAGTAAATGATTATCATTATTCAAGTCATATCATTGTTTTAAGCCTCAGTGTCTGAAGTCTTGTATGATTAACAATCTCCAGTATGACAGAACCATGATCAAGTCAAAGTCCACCTGTCCTCTCTCACAGTCCATTTTCCAGTATAAAAAGTATTTAAAAAAGACTATAATAAATGTCATACTAAAGTCTGTCTGAGCACTGGAGTAAAAATCTCCAGTATAGACGGAACCAAAAATACACATTCAAGTATACGGTCATTGTATCTTGTCTACAGTAAAAATGAAAAACTGTTTAACTGCTATTTTACTTTGTCTGTTCATAGAATCAGGATAACATTAATATTTTCATCATTAGTGTTGACTCCTACATTACATCTATAACAATGTGTTATATGTATAGACGGAAAATTTGTAAACAATCTTGAATTTCACAAGAGGGAGCATGAATGAAATCATAGATACAGGATGGTATAAAGTTTGTGTCTTGCAAATGTCAGATATAGAATAAATCTTTCTTCATGGTTTAATAACATTTTATTATTTTTTTCTGAAGTTTTCTGAAAAAAATGTTTATTTCAGTTACTCTAAATATTAGTTTAGTAGGTAGTAATTTCAGTTACAGAAATCCTTTATAACTATGACTGTATTCTATTTTTATATTTGGTGAATTGATATTCAGAGAGGTAAATCACCTTTCAATTTACAGTAAAATTGAAGATTAAAAAAGGTACACATGATAGAGATATAAGGTATCTGAAGTTTTTACTAACCTGAGTCTATCTGCTTATTGTTTTTGGTCAATATTGTGACAAAAGGACAGGAAGGAAGTATTGTCCCTGTTAACTGCTACTTGGAAATACCCTTTACTATATTTAGAATTCAAATCACATGTCATGGGGGTATTTCCTGTGTCTATGTTTAATCTTCATTGATATTACAAATAGAATAATTTTTAGATTTGAATCAATTTCAATATAATGTTTTATTACATTTGCAGTATTTCATAAAACATTACCAAAGGTAATGAGTTTAAATATACAATGTTAAAATGAGCATATTATAAAAATTATGAGATTTGGTATGGTTGCCGTGAGATACTAGCTACTATTCACAAAGATGTAAAAAGCTACAGGTCATCATAATGTCTATATCATCAGATTAAATGACTTTGAGAGGTCTTTCAGTTGATATTTGATACAGATTATTAAAAATATGTTTCACAAGAGCTGTACCTTGATCAAGCATGGAAGCATCTAAAAATAAATGGGATTCCACGTTAAAGGAAAATATCAATTTACAATTAATTTCATTGGTACGGTAAATAAGTAAATTCTAATTTTAATTGTTTTCATTTTCAAAGGAAAAATGCCAAGAAAACCGAAAGTATATTTGACTTCTAAATACTGGAAACAATACCGGTCAGAAATACGGGTGAAAACAGGTCATTTTCTAAAATCCTGGGTTATTTGAATGGCACTGGCTGCTGTTACATGGAAATGTAACAATAAAAATATTATTGTTACATTGGAGACTAATTGCCGGAATAGGGTTGGGTAAGGAACCGATTAATTACGAATGTAACAATAATATTTGTGTCTACGGTTACATTGCGCGATTGTTTCACTAATGCACTGCAATGTACGATGGGACTATAGTAATATGTATGAAAACAAAACTTGAAAACTTTTATTTGATATTAACAATATTGCATACAATTTTTAATTTTTTTATTTACAATGACAGTTTCCACAAATCATGCCAGTATGTTGTTTTTTTGGATCATGTTTAAGTCCGACGCATTTTTGTGAAATCACTCCAAGCAGCCATCACAAACCAGTAAATACATTTTCTCAGCCCAAGTTCTTAACAGTGAACCATTGAACTATATTTTTGGCCTTTGGCACTACTAAACTGCTCTTTGGTTGGATTGTTCTCTCTTTGACACACTCCCATTTCCATACTCAATTTTAATATCTCTAAGAACATCAAAACAATTAAATCAATGCTTAATACTATTCAAACACTATTTGTGGAATAATATTATTATTATTATTATTATTTATCACTAATATTATCTAGTACATATAGAAAAATTAAGCAACAAAACTATAGAAGGTTTAAGTTTAATATATCTTGCGTACATTGCAGTCTTTAATGTAACAATAACGCCATGTAACCGTAGACACTAATATTATTGTTATATTCGTAATTAATCGGTTCCTTAGCCAACCATGTATTCCGGCAATTAGTCTCCAATGTAACAATAACTTTTTTATTATTGTTACATTTCCATGTAACCGTAGCCAGTGCCTATTTGAATACCCAACGGGTATTTAAAAAATCCCGTGTGAAGAGGGAAATTCTCGGGTGTGACCCGCAGAATACGGGTCAGTTTACAGCTATGTCGTTTCGGTCCATCATAAACTTAAAAAAAAAGAAGTAAATGATTATCATTATTCAAGTCATATCATTGTTTTAAGCCTCAGTGTCTGAAGTCTTGTATGATTAACAATCTCCAGTATGACAGAACCATGATCAAGTCAAAGTTCACCTGTCCTCTCTCACAGTCCATTTTCCAGTAAAAAAGTATTTAAAAAAGACTAAGAAATGTCATGCTAAAGTCTGTCTGAGCACTGGAGTAAAAATCTCCAATATAGACGGAACCAAAAATACATTCAAGTATACGGTCATTGTATCTTGTCTACAGTAAAAAGGTAAAACTGTTTAACTGCTATTTTACTTTGTCTGTTCATAGAATCAGGATAACATTAATATTTTCATCATTAGTGTTGACTCCTACATTACATCTATAACAATGTGTTATATGTATAGACGGAAAATTTGTAAACAATCTTGAATTTCACAAGAGGGAACATGAATGAAATCAAAGATACAGGATGGTATAAAGTTTGTGTCTGGCAAATGTCAGATATAGACTATTAATCTTTCTTCATGGTTTAATAACATTTTATTATTTTTTTCTGAAGTTTTCTGAAAAAAAATGTTTATTTCAGTTACTCTAAATATTAGTTTAGTAGGTAGTAATTTCAGTTACAGAAATCCTTTATAACTATGACTGTATTCTATTTTTATATTTGGTGAATTGATATTCAGAGAGGTAATCACCTTTCAATTTACAGTAAAATTGAAGATTAAAAAAGGTACACATGATAGAGATATAAGGTATCTGAAGTTTTTACTAACCTGAGTCTATCTGCTTATTGTTTTTGGTCAATATTGAACATTTAAGTAGACAAAATGGACAGAAAGGAAGGATTGTCCCTGTTAACTGCTACTTGGAAATACCCTTTACTATATTTAGAATTCAAATCACATGTCATGGGGGTATTTCCTGTGTCTATGTTTAATCTTCATTGATATTACAAATAGAATAATTTTTAGATTTGAATCAATTCAATATAATGTTTTATTACATTTGCAGTATTTCATAAAACATTGCCAAATGTAATGAGTTTAAATATTCAACGTTAAAATGAGCATGATGTTTTATGCATGTCCAGGGGTGGATCCAGCCTTTTTGAAAAGGGGGGTTCCAAGTTCCAACAATATGTCCCCATTCAAAAGCATTGATCATCAGCCACTGATGACCCTTAAATTAACTCTTTCCTCCATAATGATGCTTTTTGACATCTCTGTGTAGTACCTCAGTTGAAACGCTTTGCCTACAAAAAATTTGTATCAGACTTCATAAAATTTGTATCCAATATAAAAAAGATAATGTTGGGAATATCTGACTCCAATGCCATTGATGAATTATTTGTTTTCGCAATGCATAAGTACTTTAAACGTAATGATTTTTAAAGGCAGTGCTTTAATGCCTTTCTAGTTGCCGTGTTAATCTTTCTTTCCGCGATATCCAACTTATCTACGTGGGGGTCATTAGGCTCCAAGTAGATCCGGAAAATGTTGATTCTCTCCTCTTCTTATTGTGATATAAAATGTTTTTTGTTTCATTTCATTTACATTGGGAAATAGAGAAAAGATCATTGTGTTTTGTATGTTTTAAAAACTTTTGATATATTTGTATTTTACATTATAAGCAGTCAACCGATTGACAAACTAGAATTATTTGAATTCCGTGTGGAAAGAGGTCGGGTTAATTTCGAGTGTTATCTGCAATCTAGATGTTTATAAATCATTTCAGTCGTTGATATAATAATTAAAGGTCGACTGAACATGAATTATATTATACAATTTAAAGCGCATTTCTGTTTATGCACGCGAACCCGTCTAACGTTATTGTTATTTCGCAGTTATATAAAGAAGCAAATTATCGTTCCTGAATAGGTGGCGCCGTGGTAGCCGATCCTGTTCTTCAACTTCCGGTTTCTGCACGGTGCAACTATTACAGTTGCATTTTTAATTAACGATGCCAAGTACTTGTTGTTGTGTACCTGGATGTCATTTAAGAGGAGGACATGCATTTCCAAATGACTTAAAAAGAAGGAAAAGTTGGATCAACGCCATGGCCCATACGCAGATTGGACGAGAACACGATGAAATCGTGGAGTCCATCTCAATCACTCAGCTGTTGTTTGCAAGGCACATTTTACTGAAAAAGACTACGTGCAGGAAACTATTCATGGTAAAACTCTATTTTCTTTTTAAAATATATAGTTATATATGTAATCGCCATGCGAAATAACCAAAGTCTGTTTACAACCGCAATTATTGTTTTAGAATAAAGGGGGTGGTTAATTCAAGACGTCATAATTTTTTGGATTACGATTCAATGTGATCTGTTTGAGATTTTTTGGTGCTTGCTACAATTATAATGATTTCTTACTGAGAGAATTATTTTAGCAGTAATTATGCTAATGTAGTAATGACAGGAATGCATAAGCTATGCCTCATAGACTTTCTTGAAAAATGTCAATGACAATGTTAACAGGAACAAAACAATGACATGCTCTCATCTATATTATAGTTATTTAGGTACAAACAATGTATGTTTGTTGCATACGTCTCTCATTGTTTGTCCTTTGGATTTACATAACATACATTTTGATGTACATTGAATCAGGCTAACATATTTTTATCCAGATTGTAATGAATAAATCTAGTTAATATTTTGCCAGGTAGTATAAAGTATGCATTGCTAATGAAAGTTCATTTAATTATCAAAAAACTAATGTTTTATAACCTTTTTCAGGGTGCAAACCCACCATACAGAGACGTAAGTCTACTGCCATTCCCAGCCTATTTTCCTGGACCAAGCAAGAGACTGAATCGTCCGCAAAAAGAAAAATCAGGGCAGTTTCCTGTGAAAACAAAAGAACTAAACTTGATGAATATTGTAGTAGAAATCTAGAGGAAAGTTTTGATACTAAAGTTGGTTTTCCTGAAGAAGTCATTCATACTGCAGACATGATTTATGACTGTCCACCACCAACTGCCGAGCTAAAAAATGTAATGTTGAGCTTCACAGATGGAATTACGCAAACACCATCAATGCCTATATTTTCAGCAGAGAATTTTGAAATGAAGACACATGACACAGCCATGCATTTATATACCGGTTTAGAGTTGTAACTTGTTTACTATATTTTTATTTGTTTTGACCACACTTGGTCCAGCAGCACATTGTTTGAGATACATATATTTTCAAATTGATAGGGTGTCATTTGAAAATCAGTTTTTTTATGACTTTGATGAAATTGAGGCATTATACAACCAACTTTGAACTGTCTAGATTCTAGATTGAAACTAGTGTTAAGAATATTGTGTAAACATGGATTGTTTTTATGTCTAAACAGTGGCGTGAGGCTAACACTTGGCCATTTAGTGGTTTAGTCAGGTATTTTTCGCCATCCAACTTCAAATTAAAGTTTCCTACAACTTGGATTATTATTGACAGCACAAAATATCCCGTGATAAAACCTAAAGCTCCTAGAGCTCAGGCAACCTTTTCATCATATA